GAAGATAGATATCATAAACCATTAGACACCTAACAATAAAGAAACAAAGATACAGAAAGCAAAAATCAGAAGAAATATAAGGGGAAAGAAAAAAGTATATAATCACAGTGAGACATATTAACATTTTTCTGAGAATATCAAGTGCAGAAAGACTATCTTAAATGATATAATTAATAATTTAAATGTTATAGATTTCTATTTATGTTAATCTTATAGCCTACACAAATATATTTAAAATTTTGTATTTCATATGTTGTTATTGGATGTCCATAGGACATTTAGAAAAAGTGACAAAAAGATAAACATTACTAATTTAAAAAAATATAATTCTTCTTTTTGTGATTCAGTTATATACCTATATTATTTTTGAAATTACTTTCTAATATAGGTTATTACAAGATATTGACTATAGTTCCCTATACTATACAGTAAATCCTTGTTGCTTGCGCATACCTATTTTTTTTATTAGAAATCTAGCGTTCTGTTCATACTATGTCAAACAAGTGGAATCAAAATAGCAAATGATAGTTCTTAATGACTGCCTTCCAAATATTTATCAGACATCTGTTTCTTATAACCAAAACCAAAAAAAAAAAGGTAAGAGCAAAGATGCTCTTTAAGGGAAGAATATTAAGACTGTCTACTCTGGAGTCTAAGAAAATGGAAAGAAGACGAAACTACCAACGTGCTCTGAACGGGAAGAAATTAATCACTCATCAGAGAGTGTGGTTATACAACACAGACATCATGTCTCTTACTCCTAAGTTATGCTTTCCAGGGAGGGCCAGGGATTGTTTTGTTTTGTTTGAATTTTTACTTCCTTCTGTCTAATAAACTGAAACTGAGCTAATAAGATTGGGCCAATGAAGGGAGACTTTTGTAGAAAGCTGGATAGTAATGAATGAGTAAAAGGGTGTGATATAAACGTCTGTTTGTCTCTTAATGGGTTCACTGCTAGTTTGAATAATTTTGGTGTTTTGCATATCCTTTTTCTTTAAAAGAAATATTGAAAAACAGATTGTTCTGCAGATTAACTGTTACATGGTAGGCCTTTTTAGATGAGATACCAGAGGCTACACTGTTTGACATATTTAGTGTCTAATAAGTGAGTGATTATTTACCATGGTGTGGGAAGATTCGGTATCTAGAAGTTTGAAACAAGTTGGGAAATGTGACCTTAAAGTGTGTCCAGAACTGCCAATCCAACCATAGGGCCATGGAACCACAATGATGCCACATTAGGTTAGACATCTGTGGGTTATTCAGTATAATAAGCTGTGCAAGTAGCAGCTTCCTCGTGGAAAAAAACCTCGTGTGGACCCTCAGAGAGTTAACCTAAGAAATTAACCTGCAGTTGATCAGAGCAGACAAATACAACTCTTAAAAGTGAGCAAACAAAACCAAAATGGTTTCCCAGACAGGAGCAATGGACAAAATGTAATTGACAGAATTAAAGATTACGTTCAGCAAAATGGGTTCTGTTGGTCATCCAAGAAATTAGGGAAAGGGGAGGCTCTGGCAGCAGTGAGGGGTGGTCTAGTCCTGTTATAAAACGTGGATACGATGGGCATAGGACAGGGAGAAGCTTTAATAGTTAAATATTCATCTTCACTTGTTCTAATTCTAAAGACGCTGCTAAAGTCTGACTTCCCAGGAAGTCAGTCTTTAAGCGAGACTTCATCAGGCTTGTATAATTGCTCAACCTGGCATTTGCTGTTCCTGTGACAGATTGGTGACTTGGCATCTAATATATAACTCACCAGATCTAGTAGTCTTACTTTAAGGGCACAGTGTGTTCAGGTGAGTTGTACATAAATAACAGAACAGCTGTGACCACATGGGAGCTGCCACACTCTTCCCTTGCCTGAGAAGAACGAAAAAGACCCCAAAATTGTCCCATCAGAAGCCTGAGTGCAAAGGAGCTGATTCCAGACCTTATGAGGGAATGCTTCTCACAGTCAACCAGAGCCAGAGGCCACTCCTGTGTCTGTAGCCAAGCAAGTATCCATAAAGATAAAAGGTTTGGACCCCAGAGATATGTGAACGGCAAGGGTGAATCACTGTAATGGATTCGGTCACTTCCATCATTTGAAAGGAAGTGATGGAACTAGTGTCCAGAGCCAGGAAGAGCTGCTTTCCTTGGGCAGAGAACGAGTGCACAGCAGCAGTTTTCACCCTGGCTGCACGTGAGAGAGTTTCAGAAAATCTGGACGCCTGGGTCCCACCCCAAACATTCTGATTTCATTGGTTTACAAGTGGCCTGGGCCTTAGGCCAGGGTGTGTGAATCACTTGTTTAGACACTGATGTACTTGAGGATCAGTGATGTTTTCTGCCTGCCAACTAGTGGAAGCAATAGTCTAGCCCAGCTGTTCTCTAAAGGTGGTTCTAGGATCAGCTGTGAGCATTACCTGGCAACTTGTTAGAAATACAGATTCTCAGCCCCACCCCAGAACTACTCAAATCAGAATTTCTGGGCTTGAGGATCAGCACCTATATTTTAACAGCCCCTCCCAGTCCTTCTGATCCAGTGTCAGAGTTTGAAAACCACTGATCTAAGTCCAGACCTTACTACTCGAAGTGTGGTCCACAGCCCAGCAGCATCTACCCTGCTAGAAGCTGTTAGAAATGCAGAATCTCAAGCCACCCCAGGCCTACTAAATCAGGATGGGCATTTTAAACCATATTCCCAGATATCTGTGCATTAAAGTTTGAGAAACACTGGGCCTCCTGGCGGCTCAGACCGTGAAATGTGAGAAGCACTGGTCTAAGAAACAGGGACCAGTTAGTGTTCTCACCAGACTTTAGTTGTCATATTTCAGTGCATTTAGGTCAGAGCACAAGAGCATAAGCGCAACTTACAGGAGGAGCTTAGAAACTGTTCTAATACCTCTGCAGGAGGTGCGTAGGTGGGTTCCATTATATAGGTGGGGCGTTGTCTCAAAGAAACATTGGTAGTGGATATAGCAGATATTTCACTTTCACAGTAAATGTGGCCTAGTAAAAACAGCTACTGTTTATCAGATGCTTACTTTGTGCTGTATAGGTGTATTCGCATGCAATCCCTATAGAAAACCAGAGAGAAACCATCCATCCATCCATCTGTTCAGCTATTGTTGTATTATACAAGCATGCACTGTGGGACAAATTGAGAAAGCAGCCCTGACATGTATATACTACCATATGTGAAATAGGCAGCTAATGCCAAGCTGCTGTGTAACAGGAGGAGCCCAAACTGGCTCTCTGTGATGACCTAGATGGGTAGCATGGCGGGGCAGGCTGGGAGAGAGGTTCCAGAGGGAGGGAATATAGAGAGAGAGTTATAACTGATTTGCTTTGTTGTATGGCAGCTGTATTTGCATTGTTGTATGCCAATACAACATTATAAAGCAATTATCCTGCAATTAAAAAATCAAGAAAAATAAACATGCGTGCCAGGCATGGGCCTAGGCATATTCTTATAATTTAGGGATGTAACTCTTCCTGCTATTTTGAGACTTAAGTCCAGAGTTAAATAGCAGTCATAAATACACTGACGTATAATAAAACCATAGGTGAGGATACCTTATGAAGAAAGTAAAGCAGGATAAGAGAACGGGATGAAGAGTGACAAGGAAGCGCTGCTTGAGGTAGGTGGTGAGAGAAGGAAAGCCTCTCTGCTCAGGTGACTTTTGAGCTGAGACTGAAACAGCAAAAGCGTGAGCCACATGGCTCTTTGGGGGAAAAAACATCAGTGAGGACACAGTGAGGGAGAGGCCAGCCCTTAGAGATGATTGGGGAGAGAGCTGCAGGCCAGGTCATGAGTTGTCGCATTAGCCATGGTAAATCCTTACAGACAAGGAAACTGAGCCGGCCTCTCAGACTTCAAAATGCCCACAGATCACCTGGGGCCTTATTAAACTGTAGTCCAGAGGCAATGAGCCTGGGTGAGATCTGGATCTCGGCATTTCCAGCAAGTTCCCTGAGATGCCGATGCTCCTGGTCCATGAACCACTCTCAAGAGTTAGCACGAGGGTGCAGGGGTTGAACTGAAGCAGCGTGTCCGGTGTCACAGAGCTGGTAAGTTACAGAGGCAAGATTTGAATCTCAGGCACCTGGCCCCAAAGTCCTTGCTGTCCCTTGGTACCTAAGCCTGACTCACCTGTTAGCTGCATACCATGCAGGAAAGTTAAAGGGCCTACCCGGGAAAGGTCGTTGTGGGCACTCTGTTCATGGAAGAGCTCCTTCTATGTGATGGAGAAGTAACAAGGGAAGTTGATAACTATTGGTACCAAAGTTACCATTGGTAACCTCGGTAACCATTGATACTTTGTGCTAGCTCCTGTGAAGTACTTAGAAGACGTTAAGACATCCCTGGCATCTTTCGAGAGATGAATGATGTTGTCATTGGTGACCGTCTTGGTGTAATACATAAGAAACACCAAAATACCCATGAGCCTCGAAGTCTAATGCACTGCAATCGCGGTCACTGACCCAGGGAAGCCAGTCGTTCTCCAGGCTCTGCATTTGCTCTGCCTGGCCCAGCCTCCCCAGACGCTTCTGCTCGGGCCCATTCGATCCCTTGCCGTTGGTCGCCATCACCGCGTGGGGAATGCTGGCTGCTCCCTGGTGTGGCTTGGCTCTGGGGTACATATGAAGCAGTTTACATGCTCCAGTCAATCCTGCTTCAGTATAGAACGAAACAAAAATGAAAAGGGGATGTGTGGGGGTGGTTGAGTATTTGAACATTTAGCTCTGGGTTTCCTTCCATGAAAAGGACTGTAGCTTCCATAAATAATAAAGCAGTTGTTCCAAAGGAGGAACGGCTTCTCACTTTCCCTCGTCCCTGGATGTCCACGGGGTCTTCCTGGCTCCTGGGGGTGTGGGGTGGCAGAGCGGGGAGATGTTCTGTGTATGTACTGTATATGCTGCTGCCTTGATGAATGACATGGTTTGGTTTGGTCTGTTTCGCTCCCCTTTGGTTAATTCTCTGTGTTCTTTTTCCTTTGTGCTGCGCAATTAGGACCCTGCAGTGGGACACAGACCCCTCAGTGCTCCAGCTGCAGTCAGACTCAGAACTTGGGTATATGTCTGCTCTTTTGGTACTCCTTTTATCATTTCTTTGCTACGGTTGTGTTGAAAGGCCGGAGCCGTTGTTGCTCTTGCCTTTTCCCCCCTTTGCTGAATTTCCAGTTTGATAAGTTTATTTCCTTCTGTTAGTTTGCCTTCTACAGTTATGCTTCGAAGAAAGTCTCTCTTTGTGGAAAACACCACAAAAAGATGGCTTTTGACCTCCCTCTTTTAATTCCTATTATTGCAAAACAGCCCTCTCCCCGAATGAAGATGATAAGCATATCTCCATGCCTCTGCTTCAAGGTGGGGCACACAAGTTCTGTGATGACAGATATGTTTAACTTCATCCTCGCCATCTTCCCCTTGACTAACAAGTTACCTTAAGTTAATCTTTGTCTAAAACCAGTATGAAAATATGTCTCGTTTGTTGCCTTTTCACTTTTTTGGGAACTTTCAATTAGCATTTAATTTGAATCCAGTTTGAGGGTGTAGAGATTCCTGTTAAAGAAAAAAATATGATTTGTTGAATGCCTCAATATTAAGAAATCTCAAATTTATTTGATGATGGACAATGTCTCCTGCATCCTAAAGATCATTTTTTTTTCCAGGTGGAAATGTATATTAAAAGGTGGCTTCAGAATTAAAAATTCTTCCACAAAGAATAAAATGCACAGACAATTCCTAGAAACTTAATTTATTTCTATTACAGGGTTAGAGTTAGCTATATTCACACATGAGATGTTTCCAGTGGGGTGCTTGTTCTAGCTGTGCTCAAGCTTAGGAGCACCGACTATGTGCTTCTTTTCAACTTGCTTTGGTGAATTCAGATCATCTTGAAATCAGCGACAGTAGGGGTGTTTACACCACAGAAACTGACAAATGCTTCAAACCAGGGCTTACTCCCTTCCCCTCAAGGAAGTTATTGACCATTTACCAACATGCATGCCACTGGGTACCTCAATATGTGAATAACAGATTTTATTCCAATATTTTGTAAAGCTATTACTTTTTATTTCTAAATATAACCTGATGAATCCTGATGTGGGCATTTATTTATTATTTATTTGAATTTCTGAGATTTCTGGGCATGTATCTGTGGGTTTCTATCAATTTTAGTGCTTACTGTAGACATGTTAAGTTGCAGGGCTGTCTTTATGTTAGGTTAAATGCCGTCTGCCATGTCCCTTTATGTATGCAAAAGTTTTCTGCAGACTAACACTGCTAAACCAAAGAAATATCCTAACATTTTGGGTAACTTATATACTGTTTTTTAAACACTATTAAATTATTGGCTGTTTAGTTATATAGTTCACTGTATGTTTTATTTCCACTGGTATTATTTAAATAACAAAAAAAAATATGGCTTAAATCAAGCAGGAAAACAATTAATACATAGTATATTACTGTTCAGGGGAATTTCACAGTAGTTCTTCAATATTTCATTGTGGTTTTTATAACAAGGAGGCTAGAACTGGCAGAGACTTTGCCGTATGCACTTAACAGATTTTTTAGACAGATTGTGACATTGGTAAATTATACGTGCTGGTGTGGAACAGTTAGGAATTTTCCTATTTTTATCTGTTTTCCAGGCAAAAACTCAGTTAACTATGCAGATGAAAAATTATCCTAGGGAGATGGCATATCTGTGACTTCCACCTTGCCAGCCATATTTTATTTCAGAGTGGACACAGTGAGTCAGAGAAGAATGGGAAATGAGATTTTTTTGTGGTTTGTCTTAGATTTTGGAAGGAATGTTCAAAGAGTATTTGAGAGAGGAGGTAGTTTCAGTCATGTTACAATTTCAAATATTGATTTAATGAAATTTTCTGTCTTGTAAATAGTCCTTATGTGCAAGCAGTCTTCCTGTCACACATATTGAAGTATTGTTTGTTGTTGTTTGGTCGCTAAGTCATGTCAACCTCTTTTGTGCCCCCCATGGATTGTGTGGCCTGCACAGGCTCCTCTGTCCCTGGGATTTCTCAGACAAAAATACTGGAGCGGGGTGCAATTTCCTTCTCCAGGATTTCTTCCCAACCCAGGGATTGAGCTGACATCTCTTGCATCTCCTGCAGCAGCAGGCAGATTCTTTACCACTGAGCCACCGGGGAAGCCCTTTATGACGTGTGTCTCAGGCAACAAGAGTTTTGTAGAGACAGGTTTAGTTCCTCTTCTTGATCCTGGGCATAGAGTTGACCATAACACCTAACTGGCTCTGTCAGTTGATTTTTTTTTTTTAACAGCTTTATTGAAGTATAATTAACATTAAAGAAATGATACACATTTGAAGTATTCAAAATGACAGGTTTTAATGTATACACGTTCGTGAAGTGGTCACTGCAGTCAAGCTAATAAGCAGAGTCATCATCCCATCATCATCTCCCACCCCTTTGTCATCTTCACACCTGCTACTCCCCCTCCCCCAGACAACGGATCTGCTTTCTGTCCCAGTCCATTTGTTTACATTTCTGAGAATGTCATTGTAAATGAAATCATGCAGGAGGTGCTCTTTTGACTGACTTCTTTTACTCAAAATTATTATTTGGAGACTCATTCATATAGGTGTGTATCAATACTTCATTGTTCTTGCTGGCTAGTTTGTTGTATGGATACATCGCAGTTCATTTCTTCAGTCACTTTTGACGTACATTTGGGCTGTTTCCATTACAAATAAAAATGCTATGAACATTTATGTACAAATATTTTTAGCCAATATGTTTGCATTTCTTTTAAGTATCACCAAGTAGAATGGCTGAAGCATATAATGAATGTGCATTTAAACTGTCAAACTGTTTTCAAAATAGTTTTGCCATAATACGTTCTCACAAGTAGTGTATTCTGAGAGCCTCAGTTCCTCCACATTCTTGACAACACTTGGTTTCGACTTTTTGAAAAATTATTTTTTTACCGTTATTAAAGAAATATAATGGTATCTCATTGTGGTTTTAATTTGAATTTCCCCCAGTGACTGATGGAGCTAGGTTATCTTTTTGTGTGCATATTTGCTATTTGAATATCTTCTCTGATGAAATGTCTGCTTAAATTTTTGGACTTATTGTTTATGGATTGAGTTGTTGGTTTCATATTACAGAGGTTTATGTATTTGGGATACAATCCTTTACCTGAAACATAATGTGTAAATGTTTTCTCCCAGTTTGTCACTTGCCTTTTTCATTCTCTTAATAGTGTCTTTAAGAATGGAAACATTTTTGATTTGATAAATTCCAGCTTTCAACTTTGTTCTTTTATGAATCATGCTTTTAGGGACATCAATTTGTAGTACTTTCTTAAATAGTTGATAGAATGTAATTCACTTGTGAGACTATTTGAATTTGGAATTTTGTTTTGGGAAAAGTTTAAAAATACAAATTTAATAACTTAAGCAGTAATGGAGCTATTGAGGTTATCTTTTTTTTCTTTTTTTGAGTGAGCTTTGGCAGTTTGTGTTCTTTGAAGTAATATGTCCATTTTGTCTCTGTTGACAAACATATTGGCCTAAAATTGTATATACCCTCCTTCATCTTCCTTTAATTATTTTCAAACTCTGTAATTACCTCTCTCTTTAATAATAATTGGCAACTTTTGTCTTGTGTTTTTTTCTTCTGATAAATATGTCTAGATGTTTATCAATTTTATTGATCTTCTCAAATAACCAACATTTGGTTTCATTGATATTCCTTGTTTTTCTACCTTCTCATTGATTGATTTCTACTCTGATATTAATTATTGTTTCTCATTTGCTTAATTTTTATTTAATATGCTTTGTTTAGTTTCTTTAAGTGGAAGCAGAAGTCAGTGACTTGAGAATAATATAGGTGTGTAGTGCCATTTCTAATATAGGGGTTAATGCTATTAAATTTCCCTAAAGCATTAACTTCATGTCATCTTGCAGATTCTTACATAGTTGTTATCATTTTCATTTGGTTAAAAACACTTTCTAATCTCTCTTTTTATTTCATCTTTAACTGATGAGTTGTTTGGAAGTGGGTTATTTAGATTACACATATTTGGAGATTTTTCAGAGATCTTTCTGTTACTGATTTATTACTTAATTCTACTATGGTTAGAGAACATACTTGATATATTATTTGTATATGATTTTAAACTTGTTGAGACTTATGATTCACTGTATAGTCTCTTACTAAATCCGGTGTGCCCTTGGAAAGGGTGTGTATTCTGTTCTTCAGTTAAGTTCAGTTCAGTTGCTCAGTTGTGTCCGACTCTTTGTGACCCCATGAATCGCAGCACGCCAGGCCTCCCTGTCCATCACCAACTCCTGGAGTTTACTCAAACCCATGTCCGTCGAGTCGGTAATGCCATCCAACCATCTCATCCTCTGTCGTCCCCTTCTCCTCCTGCCCCCAATCCCTCCCAGCATCAGGGTCTTTTCAGATGAGTCAACTCTTCGCATGAGGTGGCCAAAGTGTTGGAGTTTCAGCTTCAACATCAGTCCTTCCAATGAACACCCAGGACCGATCTCCTTTAGGATGGACTGGTTGGATCTCCTTGCAGTCCAAGGGACTCTCGAGTCTTCTCCAACACCACAGTTCAAAAGCATCAATTCTTCAGTACTCAGCTTTCTTCACAGTCCAACTCTCACATCCATACATGACCACTGGAAAAACCATAGCCTTGACTAGATGGACCTTTGTTGGCAAAGTAATGTCTCTGCTTTTTAATATGCTATCTAGGTTGGTCATGACTTTCTTTCCAAGGAGTAAGCGTCTTTTAATTTCATGGCTGTAGTCACCATCTGCAGTGATTTTGGAGCCCCCCCAAATTAAGTCTGACACTGTTTCCACTGTCTCCCCATCTATTTCCCATGAAGTGATGGGACCAGATGCCATGATCATAGTTTTCTGAATGTTGAGCTTTAAGCCAACTTTTTCACTCTCCTCTTTCACTTTCATTGAGAGGCTTTTTAGTTCTTCTACACTTTCTGCCATAAGGGTGGTGTCATCTACATATCTGAGGTTCTTATTGGGTAAAATATTCCAAATTTGTCAATTAGAC